CTGATCTAAACCCTCACCGATCTCACCCCCAACATCGAACTTGTGAACAATGTCCACACCACACCCCAATTTTAGGTGGAGAAAGCCCCTGAAGAATTGGATGTGTGATCTGAACGCAGGAGTGTTTGCGGCTCTGGATCAAGACGAACGCGCAACAAGGCGGCATTCCTCGTTGTCCGGGCGGCTGCACCAAGAAGGTCCGGACGTCCCGGTGATGGCAGCATCGAACTAGACGGGCTTGGTTCCAATATTGAAGCTAGCATGAAGACAAATCATGTGTTGAGTAACTACCCTTTCTAAGCGATATAGTTGACCACTGACGGACGTTTCCGGCCTGAATTTCCACGCGTTGCTGAGGTTCCTTTCCGCTTGCCTCAGCACTCCATCGCGCTTCGTAAAGCCATGGAGCAACTGGTACCTGAAAGGTTGGCGAACAGAATTAAGGCCAACGGGGCCAACAGAGTTGCCTTTTGATTCCCCACCAGTCGTCACCCGTCAGCTCCTGCGCACCCGTCGGAAGTCGGAAGTCGCATGTTTTGTGGCCCCAGGAGGCAGCGGAAGAAGAGATCGATGAGACTGATTGCCTCGGCGGCTTCAAGGTTCGATGGGTTCGATGGGTTCGATGGGTTCGATGTCGGAATAGGGAGACACCCAGGCCAATGGGTAGACTGGTCTATTTTCCTTCGGTCAAACGGGGAGGTCTCCCGATTTTCATACACACTTGGGATATATTTTTTACATAGGAGACTTGATTTGTCATATTTGACTGCTAGGCCTGGGGAGATATTGCTGCAAGCCGTGATATCCTGCCGCAAGCTTATGTCGTGATATCCTGCCGCACATTCTTTGTGCTTCTTGACACAAAACATGTTTTCTTCTTTTTTTAGGTATGGCAGCAGCATCATAGTGCGTCAGGGCTCTCCTGGGATAGTCCTTGGAAACTGCGATGATGGATGTCATTTAACCGTCAAGTTTGACGAGCGGGAAGATGGATCAGAGCTTTGTGTGAATGCCGCTTGACGGGATGGTGGTCCCACAGGAAAACGATTAAACCTCCAATTTTCTTTCTTTCTGTGTCTTATATATATATATAATTATCTCTCTCTCTCTCTCTCTCTCTGAGGATCCTTGGTCAACTTTTTTTGAGTCAGCCCTGCTGGAACGCTGGACCTGGTCCTTTTCACCAGCCTTCGTGCCATGATGTGTCCTGTGTGTCCTTTTCCACCCCAATCATCCTTTTCCCGGCACCCAGGTCGTTCCAGAGGCACTGATGTTGCCTCTTCCGGGTGGCTTCCGATTACATCAGAAAGTGGTGGCACTGTATGAGCTTCTTCTCAATTCCGACATGAAAGTCCCTTTGGGCTCTGTGGGTCACATCATTGGAAGCCTGGGTGGAGACAGAGTCACAGTCCTCTTTGAGCCAGCAAAGTTGCTCTTCGGGGATCATAGCATTCCAGAATATCCAGTGAGTGTGAACATTCGGGAGGTTGCAGCCCAGAGGCTTTTGGTGGGTGGTTTTAGCATCGCGCAACGGGTCCAAGCCTCAATGTCACTTGTGGTGGGCAACCGGGTGGTCGTGCATGCTGGCTGTCGTGGGACAGTCCTGGCAGAGTTCAGCGACACACGGCTGACCGTGGTCTTCGAAACCGAGACGGAAGAGAGCTCACCCAGTTGCTTTAACGTTTTGCCATTGGAGATTCTGCCATGGTGCGACCTTCCAGCTCACCTGCCGGCCGGAAGTCCGGTGCGAGCCTTGCAGCATTTGATGAGTCCCTGTGCCATCCTGGTGCATGCAGGCACCAAAGGCACCATCCTCGGTGGAGTGGACCCCGCCTTGGTCTTCGTTGCCTTCGAGAACGGCCCCGCCGTGGCCGCAGCCGTGAGCACCTTAGAGCAGCTGAGTGACGAAAAGGAGAGCGAGGCCGAGGAAAAGCTTTTGGAGAAGAGCGAAGCTTGGCGAAGAGAATGACTGATATGATGCTATGTAGAGTCAAAGACCAGAAATGACACAAAGAGGTGACCCGAAAGGGAATGTCCTTTACTTTGGTGGTGCCAACCAATAGTCATTCGAAGTCTCAACCAGTGCCATGAATCATTCTCGCGCATTTCTCCAAATCTGTCAACGAATTATACAAATTTCTTCAGGAGACAGTGGCGCCCGACATTGGATCCTCTGACCTCTCTTCCATTGATGTTGAGCCCCCATCAGACGAGGCGCGTAACCACGCGAACTCCGCATCACGGTGCGGATTTGGGGGCGGACGAGTCCCGCGTTCCCTGTGTCGCGGCGCATTTTCTTCACAAGTTCCTCTCATCCATTTGACAGAAGTCAGAGAGATTTGTGTATTGGAGAAAAGTGCTAGGATGACATGATAGTGGACAACAGGCCATCATCGTAGGAATGGAAGAGGTCTCATACCAGCACACTCAGACTCCTGCATGCTTGATGTCTGTCAGGAGACTCCTAACTCCGCAACGGAAGCAGGTAACAATGGGTTCGCATGTGCAGTTTCGACGCCCATTAACTCAGCTCGTGTGACCGCCGTATTGAGCGCGGACTGATTTTGTGAGAATGTTACCAGATCTGGTCTTGGTTCATTTTGGAGGCTGGATTTCCATGTAAAGATATGTAAAGATACAAGATCAGTCCCGGAATTGTCACTTGACGCTGACATCCCTACCTTTTCCTGGAACCCGTGTTCTGGGTTTCTGATATGGCGTGTTGTCCAAGGTCCCACATTTTCAGAGAGGTTTATGGTATTTTCACCGTCTTAGTGGACAATTCGCCAACGCCAGCATTTTGCTCCAAAGGTCGTCAAAGAAACGGCGGTGGGCAAAACTGGACCATTTTCCCGGTGGAACCACGGAGTACCGTTCCAGACATTTCAATGCCCCTTCTTTACAGTGCACCATGTTGGATGGACCCTCCTGGATGGCCACCTTGGAGTGTAGCGGCACAGTCATTTTGCTGGAGAAGCTTTCAGAAGACACAGATCTTCCAATGTCCAGCGCGACGTTGAGCCTTTGAAACGCTTCGAATCTCACGTCCCCGGAATTTGCCGTCGCCATCCTGCTAGCGCAGGTGTCTGAGTGAACAGCAATGATAGATGTACAGAATATATACATATATATATAATATAAAAAGAGAGAGATTTATTTCATCACCTGACTACAAGGTGTTACTTTTTTCCCCTATGCTCAGGACACTGATGTCAGTCTCGCAGGGTGTGGCATTCGCGGCTACCAATCGACTTGATCAGTCATGTGCCTGTGCCTGGAACCTTTGTTCATTTATTTAGGAGGGCAACTCATTGCAAGATTCTGAGCCAACAGAGACAGGCACACGGCAATTTGGTCGGTGCATCTAGGATTTTTGTGCATGTCCCTTCGCTTGTGTCAGTCAAGATGACGTTGAGTTCTCACGCCAAGAAGGGCTTGCTGACCGCATTTTTGGCCGTGTGCTTGGAGAACTTTTCTTCTTCTCGGTGATGAGTGTGACTTCAGTGGTTGACCATTGGGTTGTCAGGTATATGATATGCCTTTACTCCACGGTCGCGTGCGTATTGGGTTGAAATGAGTTGTGCCAAGCCACCGCACCGGACCTGGGTTGTACATATGAGCGATTCCAGGACTGGACTTGGATGAGGAAAGGCGGCAGATGCGGTTTCGAGGAAAGAATCGCACTCCGTAAATGTCTCGAATCATTTTGCCTAGCATGAGAAACTCTGAGTAATGGAAGCTCCAATGTTTGCAAGTCCCAACATTTGTTTACTTGCATGCGGGTTGCTGCTGCGGGTTGCTGCTGCGGGTTGCTGCCAACGTTGCCACCTCAGACGGGTCCGCATTCAGTGACTGACGAAAGCCATGGGTGCGACGGTCTCCTCACTTGAAGGTGTTTGCTTGGGACGGAGCAAGAAGGTTCTGCTTGACTACAAATTTAAGAGGACGCTAGATAGGGTGACTTCTCTGATTTCACTGGAACACTTGAATGTGAACGTTCCAGCGTGGAACAGTGAGCTGGAAATCTTTTGGATGAAGGGCTTGGGCTTCGCAGCTGACTCCCGTGCAGAGGAGGTTTGCAACCGTGTCAAGGCACACGGAGGCTCCTTGCAGGGACTGGTCTGGGCCAACGCAGGGCTACAGCAGGCCGGGAGAATGCCAAACTATATATGAACAACCGCCAAACAGTGCATGACTAATTTGGTCACGAGTGGTTACGTGGTGAATTTCAGGAATCGGGTTATATTATATATAAAACCTGCAAAGAGAGAGGCTCCCCTCAAAAGCGATAACCCTTTCTGAATCTTGTCCTCTACTTGACAGTACGTTTTGGCAGAGGCTCATATAACTCATATAGCTTTGAAGAACAGAGCTGAAAGGAGGGAATTTCGGACACTTGGCTTTCGCATGCCTTTGCCATGTTCATCCATGTTTAGGCCTTGGCCGTTTCGACACGGCGTCCACCTGTGAGGTCCACATGCCTGTGGGAGAACCGTCGCCAATGGAGTCCCAGAGTCCCCCAGGCTTTTTGGGCTTGGCCTATTCCGACATCAAGGCCTTGAGAAGCAATCTGAAGGCCTTGTCCATCGACTGGTGTGAGGTTTGGAGTCAGGAGACGGTGCAACTAAAGGAATTAGGACCTCCGGCGTTGAAGGTCAAGAGCCCGACGGGTGTGACCTTTGTGATCCACGCGGTGAAAAGCTTGAACAGCTGGCTTACTCCAGAGGGCTGGATGGACCAGAAGGAATTGCAAGAGCAAAATGTGTCGCTTCCCAGCAGTACACCATCAGTCTGTCTCGGTATCCCCTACATGCGCTTCATGTGCCCTGCGGGGACTGCAGCTGGGCTTGCCAGATTCTATGAGGAGATTTTCTGCACTCAGGCGGAGCTGAAGAAAGGATTCGGATCCGTTGAAGAGTGCTGGGTGCCCGTTGGGGCCTCTCAATGGCTCATTTATCGTGAAGCGCAGCCTGGGGAAGCGGTTCCCTATGATGGCTATCACATTGCCATTTACATCAATCATTTCGTTGATGCTTATCGGAGGGCCAAGGAGCGCCAGCTTGTTTGGAACAATCCGCGCTTTCCAAACACCACCTATGACACGGAAGACCTCGCAGTGAAACACTCGGAGTTCCGCATTCTCAAGTTGGTGGATCCGATGAGTGGCGAGATCCTGTGTGAGGTGGAACATGAGATCAGGGCTGCATCGCATCCTGGATTTTGTGCGAAAGAGTGGCTTGGAAACAAAACTGAGTCTCAAGTCGCTCTCAATATGTAAGTCTCACCTAAGTTATGCCACAATGTGCAGCGACAAATCGGGTCCAACCTGAGCATTTTTCTCAAAAAGATCGAGCTACCAGATAGACCTGTCATCGTGAAGACTTGGGATGATCCCTATGCAGGATTGACTTGCATCCTGCATCCTTGTGTTTTTTTCTTGCAGTATTCGTTGTGAGAAACTCCTCATACATGAAGCATTCACTTCTTAGAACAGCAAGAACACTTTTGCTGCTGGCTGCTGGGGTTCAAGCCTTGAATCTAAGACCTTCACTCATGAAACAGAAAAGCTGCAGTCCAATCTGTTCCGCATGATGCTTGCTTCGTTGGAATTGCGGGGTGACCACAGGGCTCTTCAGATGTCACAGGGCTCAAAAAGAGCGCAGAGTCATAGAGTCACAGAACCTGATTTCAGCAAGGACGGGATTGCATCGGATTTGCAGCCGAGATCGGCCTCGATCCCATCGATCCGCAACGATCGGTGGCTGTGCGGTGGGACGAGCGGCGGAGGCGCGTGTTTGTTTTCTCACGGTCACGTATGACGTGGGAGGACTTCACGTATGACGTGTGCTTAACAATTTGTTTCAAGTTCGACAGCACAAGAAATCTGGATCCCAAAATGCCTCACTTGGGAAGAAAGACACGATTTGAAACGCAGCAGAAGCCACCGCGTTTCGTTGCGATATCGCCAGGCACCCATGACCGTCCAGGCTTCGTCCTCAATTGTTTGGAGATCATTTATTTTCTTTTTGTTTCTTCCATGTTTTCTGATGTTATTTTTTCACCGGTTTTCCGAGGTCAGTTTGCTGGATTTCCCTTGGGTGCTCGACTACATCCTCGCCACACGCTTCAATTGCTCTTTGCGACAAATCCGTCATGCCGTTTGCAGCATCGCTCGGCCCCCGGAGGTTCACCATGCGTCGAAGTACCTGGGTTCGTTTTCTTTGGCGAAAAAGTACTTGGAACATTGAGTGTGGAGTGTTCTTGAGATAGTGCAATGGCCTGAGGTTTTAACTTTGAGGACAATCCTTTCTGCTGCTGTGGAGCTGCTTGGCGGTTTTACACGTGTTTCTTTTTTTGAAAGAGTTTGCAATTTCTCCTCCTTGAAGACACGTCTTCTAGACAAGATATGCAGACCCATCGCTGGCCCATCGCCCCAATTGAGGCTGGGCCTCTTGGTTTCTCAAGATGCAGACATCGACGGATCCATCTCGGCCAAGCCTTTCATTGACAACATGATTCATGTCATCAGCGAGCCAGGTCCTCATGTGGAACATCGTGGAACCAGTGGAATCTATATAGTGATTTTAATCAAGAATCCTGGAAACAAGCTGCCAAACCAAGGTGCTTGAAGAACTTTCCGTTGTGCTTAGACTCAGAGTTCTTTCATTCCTTCTTGGAACCACTGCTGGGAACCAAGCTGGGCGGCGAATTGACAAATTGGACCATTGGAAGTGTGCATTCAGTTTTGTTGGAATTCATGGAAGCATGTGATTGCTGGCTGGAGACGCATGGAGACGCATGTGAGTTCGGGAGCGAAGCAGTGCCGTAGCTTGATTGGCGCTCGCATCCAGACAGGGGTCTGTTGCTGTGGACTAGGAGCTACTAGTAGCTTCTCGCTACTAGGGGCGATGCCCTTTGTTACTAGTAGCTTCTTGCTACTAGTAGCGATAACCATTGTTACTAGTAACTTCTTGTTCCAAGTAGTAATGCCAGGAGCTACCAGTAGTTTCTTGCTACTCGTAGCGATGCCCTTTGTTACTAGTAGCTTCTTGTTCCTAGTAGTTATGCCAGGAGC